ATTGTTACCGTGCTGGGGGTAGGGAGGAGGATGCTGTGACAGCAGCGGTTGTTCACCTTGTGCTGCTTGCTGGTGAGGTAGATGGTGGGGAGCGGTTAATGTTGGTTACCGAATGAGCTTAATGACACTTGTACGCTATAGATGTCGGCGTTAATGAAAAGAGCACTGATGGAGAGGGCGTGATTAATGAAATGAATATTCTGGAATGAGTCCAACAAAGTTCAGAGATGACGAGAATATGAAAGTGAACGAGGAGATAGGAAAGATAATGAGAGTAGCATAGAGGTTGGTAGGGAAGGGTAAATAATGGAGAGAAGTTGCGGTCAGCGAGAGTTGTGAGTTGTGTTATCTTAGCGCACTCGGAACACGTCGTCTTATTCTTTATCCATCAGATTTACCAGTTGTCAACGCTTTTCTGAGTTTGTATCTGTTCTGTCATGATTTTGTCATGCCGTCTTTGGGGAAACACGGCTTTACGTCGCCAGGTTCAAAGACAACGCCCCCTTCCCCCCTTCCCCCCACCACCACCCCATCGCAGAAGTGATAATTACATGCAGTATTGGCAGTTTATGTTGTTTTGAATGTCTTTAATGTAAATAGTGAAAATACTATACAAGACAGCCACCACAAGATGAGATGGGCTTAGGTTAGAGCACCAGAGAAAAACAAGAACAAGATGGAAAGATAACATCAGAGAAGGTCTACGGCAGCCTGGTGTGTCTATGCTCGAGACGGCTAGAACTGCAAGAAGCAGGACCATACATATAACTAGACACCTGAAGCTGCAAAGGAGGAACTGCAGAAGAAAAAGTTGCCACGGCTTTCCCTCAGGGTTCGTCGTTTATAGCGGGAAAACCCGAGCACGGTGTCGACAGGTCTTTCATGGATGTTTCCGGTGCGCCCAACATGTCCAGCGTGTGAATGGCCATTCTGTTCAAGATGCTACGACCAGCCAGTATCATCACGTTTATGCTGTGAACTTGCAGTGTTTCTTTCTTCTAAATAAACATATTCCTTTTGCTGTTTGTTAGCAGCAACACTTAATTAGTCCAGTGCCATCTTCACAGTGCAGGTTGGATGAAATTGTTCTCCAACACTTTCTCTCTAATGTTCTGTTTGCAAACTCTTTCTTAACAGTTTACTGGTTGTCCATTACTTGATGGTGTCTTGCCACTTGTACCGACGCTGTCCTCTTGCTCGACTGCCTTCATATACTCCACTCTTCAAATGTCCCACTCTGTTTTATATGGTGTCTCGTCTTTTGTTGTTACCAGCATATTTGAATTGTCTCTTGCTTGTTACCTCCATACATTCTCATTCTGATAGTGTATATCGGGAGACCCCAGCAGTCTCTTGCTTGTTATCTCCATACATTCTCATTCTGATAGTGTATATCGGGAGACCCCAGCAGTCTCTTGCTTGTTACCTCCATACATTCTCATTCTGATAGTGTATATCGGGAGACCCCAGCAGTCTCTTGCTTGTTATCTCCATACATTCTCATTCTGATAGTGTATATCGGGAGACCCCAGCAGTCTCTTGCTTGTTATCTCCATACATTCTCATTCTGATAGTGTATATCGGGAGACCCCAGCAATATCATGATTAGACCGTTGTCTTTCAACTCGAAGATGGTGAGTTCTAATCTGCATCGAGGCCGATTGTTAAAATTAGTTTATGTGCCTGTCTGTCAGTCTGTCGTTCTTTCTACAGGTCTCATATCTTCTCTCCCACCTCATTTTACCTCACGCCTTGTGCTTCTCCTGCAGCCATTTCATATAATTCCGTTTCCAACTCCTTATTTATTTCTAACTCTCTTCCCATGTATTTTTGGGGAAAGAGGTGTGTGGGTGGGGGGGGGGGGGGGGGGGGGGGGGGGGGGGGGGGGGGGGTCCTCAGGCTTTTATTTGCCTTTTCTCTCTCTCCAGAAACCATGAGTTCTAAAGCCTGCGGCTGGGTACTATGGATATCTCAACCCTTCGGTCCTAATTCCATGAGAGACCGTAAATCTGGGAAATATGTGGCTTTTCTGCCTACGCCCGATCGTAAACTCGGGCCACAAAAAGTTTGTCATCCGGTCGTCGCGCAGCTGGTTTAACCAAATTAGCTTGCGTTTGCCTTGTCATCATCATGTAGCAGGTCCTTTGCAGAACGTCGCTCTCATCACGGTCTGCCTGAGAGAAACTCGGTCTCTCGTCAGCTCTCCCGCCTCATGCACTTTCATACTCAAGGAGTCACCAATATCCTGTGCCCATCTTCGTGTCGGTCCGCCCCTGCCTCTTGTAGATGCCAGAAAAGTGAATTAATATGCTGTAGCAAGTTAGAATACTATGTTCCCCTTGCCTTCGCTTCGTCGTTTGTTTCCCCACCACTAGATAAGAAGATTCCCAATTCTGTTCATATGCTCCACACAGGTTATCTTTTGCTGCTACCAGTTTATGCTTGTTTTGTAGCGTTAGTAGTTATTGTTTTTATGATTTCCCTGCATTGCTGATCTGTAGGCAGCGGCAGGGCACTAGAGAATGAGTGACATGTTGTACACGGCTGTGGGGGGGGGGGGGGGGGGGGGGGGGGGGGAGCTGGGAATAGATAAGGTGACTGTCAAATGTGGGCTAATTAATGACTGTCAGTCATCGCTTGTTTCTGTCGGGTCGTCTGTTCTAGAACGCGGTGTACATAAGGGTTAGCAGACTCATGTTGTGTCATATCGTGCACTTACGTAACAGATGCTAGGTAATTTATGTATGCCACTCCACTCACATACGATATGTTATGCAAAGGGTTTGTATGTCTCGACCTTTGCTGATGAAGGCTTTTTGGCTGCATCGTGCATTTTGTCGTTAGTGGTTCTGACGGTGTTGAAGTTGACTATAATAGTGTGTTTACGAATTCGTGCCGATATTAACAAATTTATATCTCAGCTGTAGTGGAATATAAATGGATGAAATTATATAACAATATTGACTTCATTAATATTGACGTTATGTCTCATTATTTACCCTCAACTAGTAATTAGAATGCATGTTTTTTTACTTATTTGATGTATATAAATATACAACCATCCTTGTTTGTTTGCATTTTAAGAGTTATACAGCAAAAAGTTCTAATGTAAGCAATCAATCTTTCACAGAAGGACATGTTTTTTACTTGTTGTTTCAAAGGAAATTTTGAATAAGACCACAACGCGCTATAAAACAAGTATACTGCGTTTTTTTTCAACTTTCCTCCTTAAATTATAACGACGTAACTTATATGGTTTAGTTTTTATGTTATCTTAATGGTACTGGAAGTAAAAAATATATGCTAATCATTAACGTTTAATGGTAGGTACAAATCATGGACCTCATGATAAACATTTGCCGAAACACCGTTACCTTCTGTCATGCTCATAATTCACGGCGATACTGTACAATATGTTTGTTCCCTGACTGTAAATGTGACAACTGATAAACATTACAAGAAAAATGGTATGTTAAGATATATTTTAGCAATCTAAATATGACTTGTCTGTGAAACATTAGTGTACAGAGGAAAATAAATCACATTCCTAGGGTAATTAATTACCGAGAAAATATCCAAAATACAACGACACGAATTTGTAAACGCACCGTAGTTCTACTTCACACTTGGATTTATATTTTTCGTGGTTTGTATCATGGCGTCTTCAAATCCATTATTGGTTCGATTCATAGCGGTTAATTTTACGAACAGTCGACATCTGAAATGTTTCCTGGCACCCCGTTATGAGAACCACCGGAGCGGCCAGCACACACACGCGCACGCACACATAATTCACACACACACACACACACACACACACACACACACACACACACACACACACACACACACTCACAAGTGTGCGCGTACACACCCACATTCTGGGTTACCTCACAGAACTTCGCCCAGTGTGTTTCAAAGTTGTTGTGGCGGTTCTCCTCCAGTTGGTTTGTAGCTAATGTCCTGCTTCTTTTAGCTACCCCCTTTTTTTGTTGGTATCTTTTCCTAGACGTATTATTTGTATCGGTATTATCACGATCTTAGCTGCCATTCATATGTTTACGCTCGCTTATGATGGAAACTTAAACTCAGACATAAATATGAAAGAGGTGAGCATTTACCAAAATGTGAAAAATTACTTCGAAATAAAACTGAATCAGACAAGACTGAGTATCAAATAAACTTGAGTGTTAAACAGTGATAAAAGATGTATGTGAATGTTACGAAGTTCTCCCCATCAGGGTCTGCCCCCCCCCCCCCCCCCCACACTAGGTCACTTTTAATTGCTGATTGCTCGTCAACTGTGCTTAAGGTTACGGGGTTGTCCCGGTGTACTGTTTGCTCGAAAAGCGTTCTGCGTTATCTTTCATTTACATTTTCATTCATAGAAAGAGAATGCCTGTGACCTAGGTTGCATCACTCTCGCAAGGTTTAAGGCCAGTTCTGCATTTTTTTTGGACTGTTAAAAGCGTTGACATCCTGGATGGAATATACAACACGCAGAAAGCTTTCCGAGCAAACAGTTCACCGGAAACCCCGTAACATTAGTCAAAAGTTTACGAGCCTAACGAAATATGAATAAAACGTGATCTAGTGCGTAAATGGACGGAGCTGACCCAGGTGGGGTGGGGGGGGGGGGGTGGGGACTCCGTAGAATTGACCAAGACGTGAAAGGGGACTGCCAATTGTCTGGGCGGACACTCCTACCATTGGCATTTAAAACTGAAACGAAAGCTCACTTGACCAGTCAGGTCAACTGGTATTTTTACACCAATTTCAACACGTTTTATTTTATTTTGTTTTTATGTTCAGCACGCTGCCAGAAATTTACAATGCAGCAACATTTCTAAAAAGTGCAAAACATCGGTTGGAATGCCAAAAATAGTGTGGCTCGGCAAGAGTAAAATAGTACCAAATGTGTACCTACTTCGACAGCCCTGCTCCCCTCTCCCCGAGTGTTTGTGAGTGCGTGTTGCTAACGTCTTGTTTTATTGTTTCAGTCCAGTTATGGGCAGCTTGGGGACGGCTCAGTACAGGACGGTAGTAGCGGCATGCAACAGCTTCAACAGCAGGAGTCGCAGTCATTTCTCAGCGTCATGTCCACTACAGCCTCTTGTGTTAGTTCTCCGTCGGCTGTCCTGGCTGCTTCCAAGAACACGGACGCTGCCGTGGCACAGATTCTCAAGAACATCAGCAACAGTATGGCTGAGAGTAGTGGCATGTTGGCGGACAACTCGGACATGGTCACGTCCCGGGCAGTCTTTGGCAACACTTCTTTGGATAGCCACGTAGATCGGACTCACGTATACCAACCTTTTCAGGGATACCCTTCGTCTTTTTCCAAATCCTTTAAGGACTCAATCAAACAGGATGTTATGCTTTCATCCACCGTGGATTCTGACATGAACCATTTGTCCGCTTATCACAGTGACCCACTGGCCAGAGACGAGGTGCCTTATTCACTTAAACCTGGCAGGTTACACGTAGATGGCCAGAACAACAAACGACGTCTGTCTGCAGACTTGGAGTCTCATCGCACAAGTTCCTGTTTCTTATATAAACCCCACTCGGGCATCAGTCCTCATTCGATGCTGGTTAGTCCCCTAGAAGTGGAGGGTTTGATCCCAGGTCGTACGCGAGTCCGCAGCAAGTCTGGGGATATAAATTATAAATACGTGCGGTCTAAAAGTGTGGATCACTCCCCGATGCGTCCACGAAGTTTCACGGAAGACTCACTGTTCCGATCCAACAAAAGAATTGATGGGACATTTATCAAAGGAGGGAAAATATCTACACCCGAGCAAGACCTCTTCTCTCGCTCCGATGGTGCCGGAGTGTTCCGAAATCCCAGTTCTCTGCCAACATCTCTGAAGATTAAACGGAAGCACCGACCAGCACCTCTTTACATCCCTCCACAGTTTGGCATCTTCCAGAGCCGGCTGCGTTCTCCGCGGGTCATCGGAAGGGAAGGCCATTTATCAACAGAGCGGGGGCGAGGACACACACCTCCTCCGTACACGCCACCACCCATGTTGAGCCCGTTCAGAAGCGGGTCCGGATTGTTCTGCACGCTACAGTCCACCCAGCCACAGACCCCCAGGTCGGCTCCAGTGACCGGGCGGGTTTTGCTCAGTCAGCGAGGTACGTGTCTTTACCTGTGCTTGTGGGTGTCTGTTGGTTCGTCTGTGTTTGTATCATCTAGGACTAAGTTTACCGAGGTGCCAAAATTTGGAAAATGAGGATCGTCACGGGCCAGACGGTTAAACTCTTAGCATAGAAAGATCATTAATACAATACAACTGGTAATGATCCACGGGCCACTTGCTAGGCCTCCGCCGGCCAGATTTGGTCCGCGGGCTGCCAGTTGAAGAGCCCTGATCTAGGTCCTAAAAGATATAGTCCGTTGCAGGAATCTTGCCCTACTTAATCTGTAACTGGGTAACCGTTTGGTGTCAGTTGTTGTAGTTTGGCGTACAACCTATTAATATTTTTTTGGGGGGTAAACAAACGTCTAGTTTTCATTTTGCGGAACAGACAACGATTCAGAGCAAACAATCAGCATGCTTACATTAAAGTAAAGATCCCTTTTCACTCCTTAGGCGTATCGGGCATATGGAAAGAGCACCCATATTTTTACAGACCAATCGACACTAGGTGTGTAATGTGGTCAGTATTACGCTGGCTGTCTTCTCTTTCTCAGAACCGAAAATCAGTTCAGGGAAGTTTTCAAAACATCAGATTCCATGCGTGTCATAGGTCTTTCATTCTCAGATGGTCATCTCAAGCATAATTCTTCCTTGAGCTGCGGATTTTTCGTTGAGTAGGGAATAAGCTATCAAAATAATCACTGCGCATCACTGCATATTTGAATTGATTTCCAAACAGTCTTGATACGTGTGTCAGTTACTGTCTATTCTATTTTTTAGGGGTACAGAAATTATTAATCAAACAAAGATAAAAGAAAATCGCCGCACAAAGAAAAAAGCAGCATCTGCGCAGTTGTAAATGATAGAATCATAAAGACATGGCAGATCTAAAATGAAACTTACTTACTTTTTACTTTTTCCTTCCACGTATGCCGCTAAGCGTTGTGGGGAGATGCAAGTTCCTGTCATAAGCAAGGCGGGCAGCATCTGATGTTCTGAGGCCATGCTTTTGGCAGGTTTCGGAGACCCCGTCAATCCACAGTTTCCTTGGTCTTCCTCTTGCCTTATATCCTGAGCTTCTTTGGTTGAAAATTTGTGATGTTATTTGATCATTTTTCATCCTGGTTAGATGTCCAAACCATTTCATTCTTTGATGTTCTATGTAGTCTAAACATGGTGTAGTTTTGACAGTGTTTCTAATGTCTATATTCTTTATCCTGTCTAGTCTGGTCTTATTCGCTGCTTTTCTTAGACATTTCATTTCACAGACTTCTATTTTTCTTTCATGGGTCTTGTTGATTGTCCATGTCTGGCACTGGTAGCAGAGTGTTGGAATGAAGATGGTGTTTATCAATTGTCTTTTGGTCTTCATGGTTATATCTGGATGTTTAAGCAGAGGTGATAGTTGGTATGTGACAGCATTTGCTTTCTGTATTCTTGTTTCTATCTCTCTGTCCATTCTTCCATCCTCTGTAAATATACTGCCCAAGTATTTGAACTCTTTGGTTTGCTTGATTTTGGCACTTCCAACATTTATATTCAGTGGCCTGTGTGTTCTGCTGATCTTCATAACTTCTGTTTTTTCTGTACTGATTCTCATATTATGTTGTAAACAGCTGTTGTTGAGAGTAGTCAGATGTTCCTGTAGATCATATTCATTTTGATACAGTATGCTTTGATCATCAGCAAAAAGTAATTCGTTTATAGCATACACGTCTGGGTTTGCTTCTACAGTGATCTTATCCATGTATGTTATATTTCTTTTGTATTATATCCTTTCTTTCTTTCTTTCTTTCTAAAATGAAACAATTCGTGTTAATTCGTACAAGAGTTTTCCAGATATTTGTTAACGTGTGACAGCATGAGTTTTGAAACATACTTTAACATTTGTCTGTTAAAAGAGACTAACTAAACAAAAAGCAACGTGGTTAAGACTATGGTGAGAGATGCAGGTAAATAGGCAATGTGACTTAGATTCCTCGAAAATGGTACCAAACTTAGCCCACAATTCAATAGACTATACCTATCGTCAGTTGAAATAAGTAAGCTAACACACACTTATAAAGGGGCGTTGTGTTTGTTAAAACAAAACTTGCTTGTATATATAAAAAATACTCCCCTTTGTGGTATATATACCAAACTTACAGCTTGATATGCGTAGCTGCATCTTGTAACACTTACCACACATTGTATGTGTCCTGGTTATTTGAAGTAGGTCAGATAGATACAAAGCACAAGTGGCCCCTATTTTGGGTTTTAAGTTTTCTGAGATACCTGGTGTAATTTAAAACGATTGGGGCCTCAGGGCTTTATATATAACTTAGGGCCTCGTCAAGTCTAAATCTGGACCTGTACCTTCCTAGTAAAGGGAAGTGGGAGGGGGGGGGGTGGAAAGTTTCGCACACATCAGGCACCCTGGGAAGGATCATGCCTGGGCCGGTGGGGGGGGGGGGGGGGGGGGGAGCAGTGGCGATGGACCGACTTTCTTTCAGGCCAACTTTCTTTCTTGCGAGCCACGTTTCATAAAGGAACTGCTACATGATGATATTACGAATATTTTCACAAGACTATGTGGAAAGGTCGAGGGTAGGAGAGCAAGAAGTAGACAGTGATACATGTGGGAGGACGGCATCATAGGATGGACAGACAACAGCCTGAGAGAGTGTACAACCAGGACAAGAGACAGTGTTGGCAATCCATTACAACCAACCTTCTCTGTGGAGACGACACCTGATTGATGATGACGCTGCAGTTTTATGTGTGAAAAAAAAAACAAGACAGAACCAGCCATATCACCCCATCTTCCTGTCACCTTTTAAGCATATATCATCATCATGTAGCAGGTCGTTTGCAGAACGTCGCTCTCATCGCCAGTTCTCCCACCTCACGTACTTTTATACTCAAAGAGTCACTTATATCCTGTGTACATCTTCGTGTCGGTCGGCCCCTGCCCTTCCTTCCTGGTACCATGCCTTCTGCTATAATGTTTTCCAGTCCGTCGTGGCGCTTGATATGACCAAAACACTTCAGCTTCTGAGACAGGAGGCTGTTTATTAGCCAATCATCTTTGTTGTTCAGATCTTTCAACATGTCAGTATTTCTCCTCTTCTTCGTCCAAGATATGTGCACATCAATACACTTTTTGTTACTTGATTAAGATATTCTGAGAATCTTTCTATAGCATTTTAGCTCAAAAGCCCCTATTTTAAACATATATAGTCCAGTGAATTTCCACCATTACGGAAATTCCAGACAGAGGATTTTGTTATGCTCTGCTGCCACCGAATCGCCCATGCATGGAATTTCTTTGAATAATCGGATTTTCCCCCAATGAAGTATGCACGTCAGTCTTACATGATACATTTTTTCAAAGTATAGTGTCAGGCAAAACCCTCACCAATTTCAAAGCAGTTGCACCACCGGATCATGGTCACATTGTCGAGCAGAACTAGCTTTGACGAAGAACGAAATAAGGAACTTTATTTTCACAGGGTCACAAATTGGGTATGCAGGCCCGTCTTACATTTGGCCCTTCCAAATACCTATCTTTCAGCAGAAGAAGGAAGTCCCACAAGACATCTATTTTCATTTGCTGAAGAAAAATAAGACATGGGGAGTGGGCGGGGGTGCGGTGGGATGAGAAGGAGCAGAAGAGATGGTCGAACGAGTTTTCCACAGCCTTTGCTTGTGGATAGAACATGTTAACTCACGAATCTGTGCAGTAGATTGTGGGATGTAGAGTAGCATGATCGCCAAACCAGGTGGTCATGGAAATCGATGATGATGGTGGTCTCAAAGAGACAGCAGAGCCATGCAGGAACCAGACGAATGTGTCTAAAGACGTCAATTTCGCATGGTCACAGTAAACGGGGTACTTAATTTATAACTTACCCCTGACGTTACGACAACGTCACGGAAGATATTCCCAATAAATTCTAGGGTGTTCAGGATGTAGTTTCTCGCGATTTATCTACAGCCAAGTTTAGGGTTAGGGTTAGCATTAGAAGACACTACATGAACACTCAAAAAAAAGCACCACACAACAGCACACTTCCACCCCTTGAAATAATGGACTGTCAGGTCAGCTGTGGATTTCCCACGGGGATTTCGTGTTTGGGGTACGTTAGAAATTAAGGTTTCGTGCTTTGAACAGCAACGAGGAAGGGCGGGCACTGTATAGGAGGTACACACGACACCAAATCTCTCCCTCCCACCCGCTTGATAATACCCTTCCGTATTACCCGCCTGCTATAGGGGTTTGTGCGTCATAACTAGATAACGCGTTGCCCGCTCAGACATTTAGCCTGAAGCACGGCTGGACACACTGACCGCAGCCTTGACCGGGAAACCAGGTTTGGAAGGTCACTGGCGCAGCCGATTGGGGAAATCCTTTCATGACGGCCTCATCGACGTCATCAATGGGCTAAATTTAGAAGCTGGGTCACACACGAATTACCCCCGGACAGCGGAACTTCACAGTTTGAATTCATGTCGTGCGTGCATGTACGAATTGACCAAGTGATTACTGCTGTGCTGGATTCTGCCATCGTATCGTAGTCTTCATCAGCTCTGCATTCATGGGTATGCATTATGTATATACTTTAGATTGATGTAGCACATAGTTTGATGTGCATTTTCTTTACTTTTAATTTGCGATTTCCAATAATGGCATAATACTTACTAGGAACTCACAGTGACATGTGTAACATGCCGATTCAGAAAGTGAAAGAGTTTCGATATGTCAAGCAAGCGCGTCTGACTGACTGAGTTAACACCTGTTAAATAGTTAATTAGTTTGTTAGCTGGCAGATTTCCTCATTGCAGATGGATCAACCCACTCCATAATTGCTCGGATCCCCTGGGATCGTCAGTAAATCCAGCAGCATATAGCAACTGACGACACTACAATATCGTTTAATAAATAATATCCAGTACAATTCCTCATCATCAAGTGCCTTGCCGACTGGCGTGGGCGATCATGCCTCTCCATAAACTGCGATCTCCTGCAGCATGTATCAGTTCGTGTGCCGACACACCCCCATGCCATGCAACAAGACTGTCAAGCATCTTCTCTCGTTGTCTTCCTCTATCCCTTCTTCCACAGATCTTTCCAGTGGTCACAACATGTTCTATTTTCCCTCTTTTTATAACATGGCCGAAAAATGATGACTGTCTCCTTCTGATGTCTGTGATAAGTTGTCTTCGGGCTCCCGCCTCTTTCAAAACCTTTTGGTTGCTCTTTTTGGCTGTCCAACTAAGCATTCTTCTGTAAAACCAAATCTCTGAGGCCTCTAGAAATTGTTTGGTCTGCCTAACAATTGCCCAGGATTCACAGCCATATGTTAAAACTAGATGTATCTAGCAAGAAAGAATTCTTTTTCTAACTCTCAATGACACCAGTACAATTGCTGCTGTTTATTGTCGGCCACTTGCATTCCCTGCGTGTGGTACATGACAAACCAATCTAAACAATTGTTTCACTGCGAGCAGGTTTCCCCCCTTGGAAAACAAAAGTGCTAGTACTCACCCCACTGTCTATTACATAATACTAGCAAAAGGTGCTGGTACTCAAGTACTAAGTACTGGAGTCAGTACCACTAAGTCACTAAGATGACAGACCAGACAGAGAGATAGACACCAGAGTAAAGAACCAAACACTATCACCTGCTAGTTAGCCCCACTACTTAGACACCCAAATGTCACTGACAGACCCGACAGAGAGATAGACACCAGAGTAAAGAACCAAACACTATCACCTGCTAGTTAGCCCCACTACTTAGACACCCAAATGTCACTAAGATGGCAGACCTGACAGAGAGATAGACACCAGAGTAAAGAACCAATCACCTGCTAGTTAGCCCCACTACTTAGACACCCAAATGTCACTAAGATGACAGACCCGACAGAGAGATAGACACCAGAGTAAAGAACCAATCACCTGCTAGTTAGCCCCACTACTTAGACACCCAAATGTCACTAAGATGACAGACCCGACAGAGAGATAGACACCAGAGTAAAGAACTAAATACTATCACCTGCTAGTTAGCCCCACTGCTTAGACACCCAAATGTTTGCCTTTCAGCAAAACAGCAAATGTTTAGCATCTTTAACCCTGACTTGACGCTGTCTGTGTCAAGTGTGGCATAGAAGTACCAGAACTGAAAATAACTAGCAGTGAAATGCACCGTCTCTGTAAGGGCACTTACCCAAGAAGGGACAGGGTTATGAACACCAGATTTGGAAAGAAAGTTGAAATAAGACTCTGAGTTATGTTGATAGACAAAGAATGAAATGGTTTGGTTATCTAATGAGAATGCAGCAAGATCGCACTGAATATCAGAGTTTTTGCAGCAGAACATCTGGAGGAAGGCGTGGTGGGAAAAACTGAGAATAGACCCAGGTCCCACTGCTTTCATGACAAGCATGTTGTAAGATTCAACTAATTAGGTGCATTTGTTGAAATCCGAGCGCAGTTGCCTGAGTGGTGAGAAACCAAGAGTTTGCATACATATAAGCCAGATCTGTGAAACGGATGTGCATACAACACTCAGGTTCTGGAACAAGACTAACGCTCAGAAACGGGCGAACACCCAGAACTTTCCGCCCAAGTTTACAACAGGTGTATGCAAAGATAAAAGAAAACCTGAAAACAGTTTGGAAAACATTGCCTTATACATGAACATATGGTCAATGAAAACTTTTATCATCTGTAGCAGAATCTGCGACATCTTACCTTGACTTTGTCCTGTCTGCCACCGAGCTTTCATTATTTCTCTTTGCTGTGACCTACAGGAAGTTTTGGTAGTGGAAGACTAGACTTGAGTTTCAACCTCGCCCCCGACCAGACTACAGATGATGATGTTCCCGAAACAGATACCACAGCGTGAGTTATCTCTTTGTCTTTTGTCATGGTCTCAATTTGTTTAGGTTTAATGTATTTTCCCCTTCTCTGATGGTATCAAAAGGTTCTCATTGTCCATTGTATTGAAGAAGTTTAATGCATATAGTTTAAAAGATATATATTCACTGAAAGAAATATTAAAGTGTTAAGAATGTGCAGTAAGATCACCTAGTATCAAGGATATGCAGTTATATCATAGTATCGAGGATATGCAGTTATATCATAGTATCAAGGATATGCAGTAATATCACATGGTATAAAGGATATACACTTATATCATATAGTTAAAAAAAGATTAGCACTGATTTCACACAGTATTAAGGATATGCACTGATATCACATAGTATTAGGGATGTGCACTGATATCACATAGTATTAGGGATGTGCACTGATATCACATAGTATTAGGGATGTGCACTGATATCACATAGTATTAGGGATGTGCACTGATATCACATAGTATTAGGGATGTGCACTGATATCACATAGTATTAAGGATATGGATGCACTCAGTGCAGAATGGATACAGAAATGATCTCCTCCTTCCACTTGTAGGTTTTGGGGCCAGCTGCTCTGTAACAGGCTTGTCGTACAGATGACTAATCTTTGTGTTCCAGCCACCCGTTTAAACGCAGCCACAGGAGAAGATCTCTACATTATATTAAAAATATGTTTATTGTGAATACGTGTTGTTAGAGCATTCACAAGAACAGTGGCGTGCATGGTGATAACAAACAAGTTGCATAGGGTGAAAGGCAGAGAAAGACCCCCCCCCCCCCCCCCTTCCCCACTCTTCCCAAAGTATGTGAGATAATTCCTGTTATGTGAAGAACACAGTCAGAAAAAGACTGGCTTGCAGAAACTCAACTGCATGAAGAACCTATGGCACAGCACCTGCAAGCCAGTTCAGGCAACAACTTTGAGACCACACATCTTTCCTGCTGCAACTTATTCTATGTGTCATAGACTCTTGCTCAGTCACTGCAGAAACAAGTGAAGCTTGTAAACTGACATGCTACATAACAATTCTTAGAATACCGTAGACCAAGAAGAAAAAAAAAAACATAGACATCCTACATGAACTGAGCATCAAGGAGAATTGGCTCATAAACAGCAGCCTGTCCTGAAAGCTGAAGTATTCTGACCATGTTAAAATGTCATGGTGGCCTGGAGAGAACAGTAATGGAGGGGACAGTTTCTGGGAAATGGGGCAGAGGCAGACCTCCTCTGCAGATGTGGATATAAGACACTGAAGATGCATTGGTTGTGAAAGCACATAGGGCTGAAGAATTGGCTAGAGAAAAAGAGAATTTCAGGTCGGCTGTGATGAAAGCGACATTCTGTGAAGAACCCGCTGAATGATGTACATATTATTCAGTGTTAGGCAGGGAAAGGAGGTGACTGACAACTTTGTGAAGAACACTTAATGAGCCGACCAAAAGGTAATAAATAATATACAAATCACCAGCTGGATCAGAATGCCAGATGACGATGAGGATAGATTAGCATTACCCAGTATTAGCAGGACCTGACATTGTAAGTTGACCTGATATATTCAGAATAGGTGTGACTGTCCGAGTTTATATGCGTCGTGCTTGTGTCTGGATGTTGTGTGGTAAACATATAGTGTTTACACGGAGCACAATATTGACTTGCATTTGTTTGGTCCGTTGCAGACATATCAATGTTGGTGCAGACTACCAAGCTGTGCTTCCTGAACTTAGAGGTGAGGGTTCACTTTATTCTCTCTTTGTTTAGAAAGTATTCTCCTGGGTGGACACAGGGCACGAATTCTCCTGGGTGGACACAGGGCACAAATTCTCATGGGTGGACACAGGGCACGTATTCTCCTGGGCGGACACAGGGCACGTATTCTCCTGGGTGGACACAGAGCACGTATTGTCATGGGTGGACACAGGGCACGTATTCTCATGAGTGGACACAGAGCACGTATTCTCATGAGTGGACACAGGGCACGTATTCTCCTGGGTGGACACAGAGCACGTATTGTCATGGGTGGACACAGGGCACGTATTCTCCTGGGTGGACACAGAGCACAAATTCTCATGAGTGGACACAGGGCACGTATTCTCCTGGGTGGACACAGGGCACAAATTCTCATGAGTGGACACAGGGCACGTATTCTCCTGGGTGGACACAGGGCACGTATTCTCCTGGGTGGACACAGGGCACAAATTCTCCTGGGTGGACACAGAGCACGTATTCTCCTGGGTGGACACAGGGCACGTATTCTCATGGGTGGACACAGAGCACAAATTCTCCTGGGTGGACTCAGGGCACGTATTCTCCTGGGTGGACTCAGGGCACAAATTCTCCTGGGTGGACACAGAGCACGTATTCTCCTGGGTGGACACAGGGCACGTATTTTCATGGGTGGACACAGGGCACAAATTCTCCTGGGTGGACACAGAGCACGTATTCTCCTGGGTGGACACAGGGCACGTATTCTCCTGGGTGGACACAGGGCACGTATTCTCATGGGTGAACACAGGGCACGTATTCTCATGGGTGGACACAGGGCACGTATTCTCATGGGTGGACACAGGGCACATATTCTCATGGGTGGACACAGGGCACGCCAGCTGCAGAAACTTAGTGGTTAGATTCTCGTGTGCCAACCCAAGGGTCAGAAGTTCAAATCTGCAGCAGTGCAGATTAAATTGACGTTGGCTTCCATGCCGACACCACCTAAAATTTGTACCTGGCAACATCCTGGTGAGAAAAGCTGCCAGTGTGAATGTCAGTTGGTCTATCAACATGTATGTCTAACCGGGACTTATTTTCTGGAATGGAGAGGGGGGGGGGGGGGAGGTGCTGGCGCTGACCACAAAGTTTAAATAATAAAGATGCCGGTACTCACTACTTTTGTAAAAACATGCCGATATCCACCACAGATATTCTTATTTAAACAGAAAGTAAAGTAAAAGACCCTTTTCCGCGCCTTAAGGCATATAGGGCTAGACCTATATTTTTGTAGACCAATCGGCACAAGATGTGTGATGTGGTTAGTATCACGCTGGTCGCCTTTACTTCCCGGGACTGCACTCGGTACCCACTCAAGGCTGGGTCAACCTGGAAGCCAAGGTCATTTAAAAAAAGTCTGCCTCCGCCAGCGAGCAAACCCATGACCATCCGATCTGCATCAAGCGTCTAGCTGTTCTGCCACGGCGACTCCCCAGTACTGCGTACCACCCAGAAAAAAAAGTCGCGGTACTTGCGCTGTATACCAGAAGTGGGAAAAGGGTCCTTGACTTACGCGGGGCATATGATACAAGATGACCTCATTGATTGACAGTGAGCACTGGTTGGTTGCAGCTCTACTGTAGGAGATGGAGCTATTTAGGCTTGATGCCTTGACTTTGAGATTGTTGGAGAGTCCTGAAGAGGGCTTTCATATGTGGAATTGAGTTTGTTGGAGAGATCAACCTCCTGACCTAGTTAGTATTGATGACTGTGTCCATTTGAGCTGTGTTGTAGAGCGACTCTCCCCTCTTCAGTGTCAGAAAACATTATGGTATGCAAGCCTGATACGGGGAGCTGACAATTAAATATGAACATTCGGATCTTCAGAATATTTTCTAGACGGGGCACCTAGCAGTTGGTCTGGCTTCTCAGCGTAGAGATGCTTGAAGTCTGGATAGACTCCACAGTGTAGAGAAGCTCCTAGTCTGGGGATATTGTCCATAACAGGGAGATGCTCCCATTGTGTGAATAGTCTTCATAACAAAGAGAAAACTTCATAACATAGCCCCAATGTGTGAATAAACTCCACTGCAGATTGCCCCAGTATCTTGGACAGTGTGAATGCTTTCTCCGTGTCCTGGGGTGAACATTTGTATTTAGGTGTAGTCTTGTGATCTAGGATTTTGATTGCTGTGAATGAGCTACTTACAACATCAAACTATCAAGTAAGTCAGACCAAATTAAACAGATTTGCAGAAAGAATATCAGCAGCCTCCTCTGGCTGTAGTGAAATGCCTTAAGCTAACTTGGTTTGGATGGACATGTGGTGTGACATGATTCGATTGCCTCGCACTACAAGGAACATTGTGGGGTAGTCGAAGTAGACAGGGCCAAAGAAAAACCTGCAGTGATACATCAAAAAATGGACAGAACTAAATGACTATACATTTGTTCAACAAGTGGAAGACAGACAAAGACTGCAGGCTATGTGTGCTGGTGCTAGCATCGAAACATTGCCACGACCCTAATGGGTCAAGGGTTATGTTATAGATCTTATACTTGCTCCATAGAGCAGGAGATTGTGATGGATACACTGAGAGATTTCCCGTTAGTTTTGTGAGTATGATGGAGGATGTGAAAGTGTGTATGATTTGCCGCTGAAAGAGATGTTGATGTGTCTTGCAGTTCGGTCTTGGACGGAAGCCAGCGATGTAGTGGATGACAGGAGAGCCCTGCTGTGGGAGCCATCCTCTCAGAGAGATAATACAGACAGCCAGAGTAAGTAATTTCTGTGTGTGAGTTCACGCATGTATGCTTGCATTTTTATAATCACCATTTCATTGTTCCCTTTTTCTGCACCCTCTGGATTCTAGCTTCAGATTTCAGTATCTGTTTTCTGGATACGGTTTGATGTCTCTTTGGAACCTGTGTTGTTATAGAACTGGAAGGCTAACCCTGGGAGATAAATGCCTGAAAAAGTTGGAACTGCAAACTGAAAGATGCTGATATCCCAACTATGCTGTACACAGGCACAATGCATGATGTCGTTGAATGAATGCAGAAAAGCTTTTCTGTTACAGTATGTGTGCTTTCAGTTTTTCTTTTATCATACTGTGACCAGAAGAGCAGAATAGTGTGCTCATAATGTAAGGGTCGCACATTGGGGGTTCTCAATGGTGTAGTTGTTAAAGTGTGTGCCTTGCACTCTGAAAGTAGTGGGTTTGGGACCCTCTGTCAGTTTGTGAGTGTGGATGTTTCAGAGATCTGAGAGGAGGAGGGTCATCACTGGAGTTGGTGAGTGTTGTGCTTTGTGTGATGCTCTTAGCACTTGAGCACTTCTCCATGGAGGGAGAGGGGACCTAGCTGTGTGAGACAACACCTGGTGTTGTGGACTGTCTTGAAACATCTTTCTACAGGAAGTCACCTACCTTTGTTAACTGGTCTCCTGCAATACTTGAATCTGCCAGTTGGTTATCACACTGTATCAGTGAAGCAACAAATAATAACACTGCGACCTACCAAATATGGCTTAAGATGGAATGAATGAGGCTTGGCGTGAGAGAGACTGCCTCGAACCTCTTGCAGAAAGCTGTAGCTGCAAATCCACGCAGTCGGAAAACAGCTTTGCAAACAACTTGATGTATGGTAGTTAAGGGTCTATGCTCCAGTGGTAAGTGAAGTACCACATGAATGGTTGCATGTGATGATCTGTGCTGTTGCACTTGATGATCTGTGCTGTATTTGTGTCTGTTCCAGTGCAATGCTACCAGGATTTCTCCTGCACGGCTGCAGTCAGGGGCAATGGTTGCAACGTGGAGTATGCTCTACACCTGCTTCACCTGGCCAACGGTGACATCAGTGTAGGTGTCGTTTTGTTGGTCAGATCAGATATTGAGATGTTTGCCTGTTCTGTCATGGTATCGTTACATTCTGGTTGTGGGATAGATGTGGACAGACAAGGTAGATAGGCCCATATCCCAGGGTAGAATATGAAAGACTAAATGTAACGTTTCATATTCCAGGCTTCAGTATGATAGTTTAACAAGGGGATGGATAGTTAGGTGTGTGTATGACTGAGTCAATATAGTGTTTGTGTATGTTTTTAAGTAAGCCTTATGCTCATTTAATGAGTTTAGTATCCCGGCCCAGATAATAATTTCTTTATCCTCAATTCTAATTGATTTAAGTTTTGGAAGAATAACTAACTTCATTGCCAATTTTACAAATATAAGTTTCATTACATTAGCATATGTGTTATTATCTGGTAATGCATGACTGGTTGGATGGATGGAAAGCTGCTAGAAGACTTCAGTAATGTCTTCACTTATCTGCTGACAATTTTCAGTTCACTTCCATATATCAGGATTTGCTCTGTCTGTATAGATATTCAATAACTGTTTATCACCTCACTTGACAGCCATGTGTTCTACAAAATGGTCATTTTGATCCTGTGAACTGATGCGGTTGTCTGGGCCACTCTGTTTCTATCTTGTTTAATAAATTTTTAGATCTGTGGCCGTTAAGTCAGCAAACACTTAGAGAGTCCCCCGTGTGGGTTCCGGGGTCCTATTATAGGGAAAACAAGAATAGACCCACTGCCTACCCAAAAGCATATCGTAAGAGTCGACTAATTGGGAGCTTCCTTGGAAGTCGGAGTGCATCTGCCTGAGAGGTAAGGAACCAGCAGTCTGCATACAAATGAGTCAGATCTGTAAAATGGATGCACACGCAACACTTAGGTTCTGGAACAGGACTGCAGTCCAGCAGTGGGTAAACAACCATAACTTTCTGCCAGAGTTTACAACTGGTGGACACGAAGAAGAAGAAGACTTAAAGAGTTCTGATCCCTTTCAAAGTTCATGTTTAACATATTTTCAGGAAGCCATGTTGATGCTGATGGCAGACCCTCCAATGCTTCCTGTTGGTCATCCCATGCTGGACTACAAGTATCAGGGTAAGAGTCTTGTCCCTTGTCCAGTGGCTCAGCTACAGGATGACCAGAAGAGGGTGTTCTGAAGGAGGAAATCCGAGCATTGTTGAATGGTTGTACAGAGGGTCAATCAATGCACACAGTCAACAGTGAAGGCAATCAGTCAGTCCACAGTGAAAGCAATCAGTCAGTCAACAGTGAAGGCAATCAGTCAGTCAACGGTGAAGGCAATCAGTCAGTCAACAGTGAAGGCAATCAGTCAACAGTGAAGTCAATCAGTCAGTCAACAGTGAAGTCAATCAGTCAGTCAACAGTGAAGTCAATCAGTCAGTCAACAGTGAAGTCAGTCAGTCAACAGTGAAGTCAGTCAACAGTGAAGGCAATCAGTCAGTCAACAGTGAAGTCAATCAGTCAGTCAACAGTGAAGTCAATCAGTCAACTATATTGATTTGAAAAAAAAAAAAAACCTAGTAAAGGACCCTTATTCCTGCCTTTGGGCACATTGGGTATTTAGTGCTCAACATCTCTTGAGACCATTTGGCACTCGGTGAAGAATGTGGCCAACCTCTACCGGCTGCCTTTACTTTCTTTGACTTTACCCATTTAAGACTCAGCCTGGAAGGCATGGCCATTAAAAAAAGACCTTTTTAAGATTTAAACCCACAACCTTCGGAACCACAGGCGAGCAGCTAGCCACTACACCATGGCAGCTCCCTGTTATAATGATAAGTTTAGTTATTTTTTTGCTACCCGTTAAATACTCATGAGAATCTCAGAAATTGTGTCTTTGTTACCCCTGAATTGCATTCATGGCAAACTCTTGGAGTTCTTCATGGCAAACTCTTGGAGTTCTTCATGGCAAACTCTTGGAGTTCCTCATAGCAAACTCTTGGAGTTCTTCATGGCAAACTCTTAGAGTTCTTCATGGCAAACTCTTGGAGTTCTTCATGGCAAACACTTGGATTTCTTCATGGCAAACACTTGGAGTTCTTCATGGCAAACTATTGGAGTTCCTCATGGCAAACTCTTGGAGTTCTTCATGGCAAACTCTTGGAGTTCCTCATGGCAAACTCTTGGAGTTCTTCATGGCAAACTATTGGAGTTCCTCACGGCAAACTCTTGGAGTTCTTCATGGCAAACTATTGGAGTTCTTCATGGCAAACTATTGGAGTTCTTCATGGCAAACTATTGGAGTTCTTCATGGCAAACTATTGGAGTTCTTCATGGCAAACTATTGGAGTTCCATATGCTTAGAAGATAATATTTTTGGGACTGTGGATATTTTCTACTGTGGTGGAATCAAAGAACAAACCTGGTTCTTTAGTCCTTCATTGTCTTACTGGTGGAATGAAAGAACAAACCTGGTTCTTTGTACCCTCATAGTCTTACTTGTGGAATGAAAGACTATTTACATTTATTTATATTTAATTTACATGATATTTTCAGAATCTGATTCTTGGAACTCTAATGAGATGGAGAGGTTTTACAGATCAATCATGATCCATGATAAGGACTTTTTCAAAGTTTCCAAAGATGTGAGTATCTTTTGCTGCACTTGGTCATTGATTCTCTATCTACCCTAGTCGGTAAAATGAAATAAAATATTGATATCCTGGGCATATAATTTGAGCTGCTTATGAGCGTACTTTTGTAAAAATATTTCTCGTGTCTCCCCATGTTGGTTCAGGGGCCCCTATATGGGGTAGAACAAGAATACTCAACGCCTTTCTGACATGCATGTCGTAAGAGTCGACTAACTAGGGGCTCTATTCGAAGTCTGAGTACATCTGCCTGAGAGGCAAGGAACCAACAGTCTGCATACATGAGCCATATCTGTAAAACAAATGTTTGACAGTCGGTGAAGTGAAGAAGAAGACATGCATGTCGTAAGAGTCGACTAACTAGGGGCTCTTTTCGAAGTCTGAGTACATCTGCCTGAGAGGCAAGGAACAAACAGTCTGCATACATGAGCCATATCTGTAAAACAAATGTTTGACAGTCGGTGAAGTGAAGAAGAAGACATGCATGTCGTAAGAGTCGACTAACTAGGGGCTCTTTTCGAAGTCTGAGTACATCTGCCTAGAGGCAAGGAACCAACAGTCTGCATACATGAGCCATATCTGTAAAACAAATGTTTGACAGTCGGTGAAGTGAAGAAGAAGAAGAATTAGTCTTCTTCTTGGAAGTTATAAGCAAATGTTTACCTGTAGTTGAATTTATGCTTGTACAAATGGCATAGTTGTCTGTTCCACTGTACTTGTGCAAATGGCATAGTTGTCTGTTCCACTGTACTTGTACAAATGGCATAGTGGTCTGTTCCACTGTACTTGTACAAATGGCATAGTTTTCTGTTCCACATGGGATGGCCAATTCCGATTGTCCATTACGACATAGTTCATTTGAAAGGATTTATCCTTTTTATGCCTCATGATATGTTGACATAATTTCTCTAATATTGTTTCTGTAGTTTGCATCTGTATATTTAAGCAGAGACATTTCATGCCAGCCAGCGAGGCAGCTGATAATGATGTGGTGAAACACAGAAAAATACGCCAGGCAGTAGTTTGGGCAAGATTGCAACACTTAACACCGCTGGCCTGGGAAATAAAACAGAAGAGATTATTGAAATGATGGAAAAAAGGAAAATCAAGTTAATGGGGCTAGCTGACATAAGATGCAAGGGAAATATTAATAAGAAAATACACAGAGGCTACTTACTAACATATGCAGGAGGAGAAATATCGAAGAATGGAGTGGGTTTCCTGGTACATCCGGACATATCTAACTACATATTAGACATACATTATCACTCAGATAGAATTATTACTTTGAAAATTAAAAGAGGAGAACAAGCTGAAACATATATACAGATATATGCACCATGCAATGATAATTATACAGAAGAGCAGAAAGATGAATTCTTTGACGATCTGTCTGATGAGATAAAGAAAGTTGAGGGGAGCAGCATACTATATGTAATGGGTGACTTCAACGGGAGGGTAGGAAATAACAGAAGAGAATACGAACAGTTTTTAGGTTCACATGCAGCTAAGAACAGTGCTAGAAATGGAAATGGTCAAAGAATATTGGATCTATGCAGCCAGCACAATCTTTTTATTACGAACACATTCTTTGACCATAGAGATTCACAACTTTACACTTGGTACAAATGGAATGATGTCTCCATCAAGAGCCATATTGACTTTATACTTACCAGAGTTCAAGGAAGAAGGAGAATTCTTGATTCAAGAGCAATCCCTAATGATCTATGTGACACTGACCATAAAAAAGTTGTGTTAACAGCAAAACATCTTAAATTAAAGAAACACAGAAATAAATTTAAAAAAACAAGGATCTCATCAAGATAGCAAATCTGAAACAGGAAGGAGTAAAAGAACAGTTACAACAGAAAGTAGAGACAGCATTCAAACAACTTCCACATGTAGTTGGCAATATTGAGGAATAATGGAGTAAATATAAAAAAACTATGCTTAGTATTGCAGAAGAATTATGTGGAAAACGGAAGAGTGGAAACAGACGGGGAAATAACAAATATTCACCTCGGTGGTGCGAAGAAGTAAAAAAAGCAATTAAAAAGAAAAAAGACTTATATAAACAGTGGATAAAATCAAAGAAAGAAGAAGATTATATAAACTATAGACTGCAAAGGAGAGAAACCAACAGGAGTGTCAAGAAAACAAAACAAGCATCCTGGGAACGTTTCGGTGAGTCACTAGCAGAAAATGAGAAAACAGCCAGCAGAAAATTTTTCAAAGTAGTTAAAAATATGCGTAAAAGAGATGAGAGCTACAACCCCACTGAAATAATTAATGATAAGACATGAAGGCCATTGATAGATCCACCCGAGATAGCAGAAAGATGGAGGGAATACTTCAATGAGCTCTTTAATCCTCTAGGAGATCATCAGGAAAGAACAACTGAAGAGCACAGAGCAACAGTGTTAGAACCACACATACTAATGGATGAAATAGAAAAAGTCATTAAACAGTCTCCCAAATATAAAGCACTAGGAGCTGATAGATTACCAACAGAAATAATTCAAGCAGCAGGTGAAAGCAGCATCAGATGGCTTCAAAGAATATTCAATGCAGCATGGGTACAACAAAGGCCCCTATTGATTGGCAAATGGCAATAGTTATACCATTGTGGAAGAACAAAGGAAGCAAACGAGAATGCGGTCAATATCGAGGCATCTCTCTTTTAAGCCATGTTGGCAAAATGTATGCCAAGATAATAGAAACAAGACTGAGACCAGTGATAGAACCACAGCTGGCAGAAGAACAGATGGGATTTAGGAGAAATAGAAGCTGCACAGATGCAATCTTCACACTAAAACAGTTAATAGAAAAGAACATTGAATACAATAAGAACTTATTTGTGGCATTCGTAGACCAGGAGAAGGCATTTGACAGAGTCGACAGACAATTATTATGGAAAGTAATGGCAAGATATGGAGTTAGCGAACACCTCATCGAAGTGTGCAAAAGTTTATACAGGGATTGTAGAAGTGTAGTTAAAATAAATCAGGGAACATCTCATCCTTTCACAGTGACATCTGGAGTAAGACAGGGGTGTGTCTTATCACCACTGCTGTTTATCACCTACATCGACAGTATATGCAAGAATGCCAAGCCCATGAATGAAGATCTTAGTAAGATCAACGAATTACTCTTTGCAGATGACCAGGCCTTGATAGCAGATACAGCCATGAAATTGCAACAATATCTAACATCCATGAATGAAGAATGTAAAACAAATAATATGAGAATCAACACTGAAAAGACAGAAGCAATGTCAATAGGAAAAAAGAAGACAGATCTAAACATAGCAATAGAATACAAAGGCATTAAACAGGCATCTGAGTTTAAATATCTGGGAACTACATTTACCGAAGATGGGAAATTGGATAAAGAAATTAACATTAGATGCAGTAAAGCAAACCAAGTATTGGGACAGCTAGCCCCCCTCTTACAGCATAAGACAATCCCAATCAGCACAAAGAGACATCTTATTCAAAGCATATTTATTCCAACTCTGTGCTACTAGTGCCAGACATAGTCACTCACAACAAACCATAAAAGAAAATTAGTAACCACGGAAATGAGATGTCTGAGAAGGGCTGTAGGAGTGAACATAAGAGATAAGATCAGGAATGAGATCATAAGAGAACAGGTCGGCACAGAACCGATTCTGGATTACATACAAAGACAGCAAGTGAAATGGTTTGCCCACTTAGAGAGAATGCCTTGTGACACCATACCATACAAAGCATACATGGAAAGAAAAGAAGGACGTAGAGCACGGGTTAGACCAAGAACAAGATGGAAGGATAACATCAGAGAAACTCTACAACAGCACGATGTGCTTATGGTCGAGGCAGCCAGAAGAGCTAGAAAGAGAACCTTATATCTCCCTCGACACCCACAGCAGTGAAAGAGGAAGTGAAGAAGAAGAAGTAGTTTGGGCAATATATTTTGTTGTTTCATCAGTTCTCGTTATGCCTAGTGGCACATGAGGCTTCAGAGAGGACTTTCCATGCTTTCCTGTCCTGTGCAATCTTCAGTGCAGTTTTCCATGTCAAAGATGCAGCACTCAGGTCACTTTCCATCGTTCATCTCCATGTTGTTTTTGGGCGCCCCTTTTTTCTCTTTCCCTCTGATGTCCATTTTGTTGTTTGCATCCTCATTACTACTATTCTGTATTTTCAGTTTTAACATGTGACCGTGACTGTTGGAGACCCAGTAATGACACAGGACAAAAGTTAAATGCATTTGAATACAACAGGCTGAGGAAAATGATGAACATAAAATGGGAGGAATATAAGAGAGGTGAAGAAATAAGGGAAATGTCTGGGCAACCACTGGTATCAACAGCTGTAAGGCAGAGAAGATGGTGCTCTACTGGACACGTTCTAAGAAGAGATGAGCCGAGAATAACTAACAGGCACTGAAATGGGAAATAGAAGGACTGAGGAAACAAACGACATAGAAGAGAAACCCAGAGGAAAACATTGATGTGAGAGGCCAAAGCTGCAGGACTGGATTCCATCCATGATATCTGAGTGATTGCACAGGATGGAGTGGACAAATAGACAGCGAGCCCTATGTGATATGTAATGACACAACAGGAGAATAAATGAATGAATCCTTATTATTTAAATTCTCAAACTTAGAACCCTACCTTAAACTTGATAATGTTTTATAACACAGGTGGGGACAAAGTCTGTGAAGCAGTGTGTACAGTTTTACTACGTGTGGAAGAAGGTGTGCCCTGACGACTACCGCCGCCTTCGATCCGGTCGTGGCAAACAGAATGACTACAACACCCGGCGGAGCGCAGTGAAGACCACATCAACAGCACCGACAGAGAAGGTATCACAGGTGCCGGTAGTCAGTGAGTCCCAGGTTCTCCTGGCCGGTGTGGCTGCAGTGGAAGGAGTGGAGGAAAATGTGGAGTCTGTGGATTCTGACAATACCAGCCTGCTGTCAGACAATGATGAAACCAGCATGGCTCCAGATGTGAGCAGAGTTGTGGTAATTGTGGACATATTTTTTACCGTTTCCCCGTTGATTTCTCTGTTGATTTCCCTGTTGATTTCAGTGTGCTCTTTGTTTTTCCAGCCTGTAATGTTTTATTTTGATGTTTAAAGGTGAGAAGATTGACTTTATTGTGGCGGATACCATCCCTGTGGCTTTGATTTTCTCCGCAGAATGGCTGCCAAGAGCACCACACAGAGCATGGACTCTGTAGCTCTAGTGATTATCTCTACGCATCTCCATAAAAAGTGCACCCATAAAGTAACTGGCAGAGTTTGGGCAACAAGCCCACACCTTTCAGAGTGTCAGGCTATTGGTTTTGAAGAAATAAAACTGTTCATGAATATGTGTGCTTCTTTTAGTTTTGACCATGTCTAATCAGACTTTAAGATATTGTGATATTTTCTGGGGGTCTCCATGGCAAAGTTGGTCAAACCGTTTCCTGCGCAGTGGGCGGCATCCGTGTCTTAGGCGTCGCGAGTCCGACTCGTAATCCAACGTACCGCGATGGAAACCCACTGCTGGCTGCGTTGATTTTTATCATGGTATGGGGCATCGCAAGTCGACCCAGTCTAAAATGGGTACCAGGATGGCTTTCCTGCGGAAGTAAAGACGGCAGGCGTAATGCTGACCACATTACCCACCCAGTGCCAATTGGTCTGTAAAAATATGGGGCACTCTTCCCATATATCCGATGCTCCCAAGGCGTGAAAAGGGATCTTTACTTTACTTTACCTGTGTCTGAATTACCGCTGTATACAAATATGTTATATTTGTGGATGTATTATATCTGTTTGTGGCTGGATGCATTATAGCTTTTTAACTGTACTATAGCTGTGTATGTGTATTATAACTGTGTATATGTTTATTATAGTTATAGCTGTGTATTTGTGTGATTAGAGCTGTGTATATGTGTATTATAGCTTTGCCAGTTCACTCCTTGCAACAATCTCTACTTCACAGTCAGTACAGAGCAGTGCTGCCAACACAGCCTGTTCAACCCCTACCAGAGTGGAGTCACCCACACCCTTACCTCCACCACAGTTTACCTGCACATTTGAGGGCTGTCATGTGGTGAGTGTGATATTTTTTGTTTCTCAAGTTGGGATAAAACAGCCCTTGTTCAACCATCAAGACATTGTGTCTAGGGCGCATGTTTATATTATTAGTCTGTTGATCGTTTGTTCAAATCCTTATTAAATGTGGGCGTTTAAATTGATGACCATACTTCTGTCTCTGGTCATTGCTCTTTGGGTACAGGACATCTTGCTCTTTGAGTACAGGAAATCTTGATCTTTGGGTACAGGACATCTTGCTCTTTGGGTACAGGACATCTTGCTCTTTGGGTACAGGACATCTTGATCTTTGGGTACAGGACATATTGATCTTTGGGTACAGGACATCTTGATCTTTGGGTACAGGACATCTTGATCTTTGGGTACAGGACATATTGCTCTTTGGGTACAGGTCATTTTATTGTATGGACTGGACATCTTGCTCTTTGAGTACAGGAAATCTTGCTCTTTGGGTACAGGACATCTTGCTCTTTGGGTACAGGACATCTTGATATTTGGGTACAGGACATCTTGATCTTTGGGTACAGGACATCTTGATCTTTGGGTACAGGACATCTTGATCTTTGGGTACAGGACATATTGATCTTTGGGTACAGGACATTTTATTGTATGGACTGGACATCTTGCTCTTTGAGTACAGGAAATCTTGATCTTTGGGTACAGGACATCTTGCTCTTTGGGTACAGGACATCTTGATATTTGGGTACAGGACATCTTGATCTTTGGGTACAGGACATCTTGCTCTTTGGGTACAAGACACCTTGCTCTTTGGGTACAAGACATCTTGCTCTTTGGGTACAAGACATCTTGCTCTTTGGGTACAAGACATCTTGCTCTTTGGGTACAGGACATCTTGATCTTTGGGTACAGGACATCTTGCTCTTTGTGTACAGGACATATTGATCTTTGGGTACAGGACATCTTGATCTTTGGGTACAGGACATCTTGATCTTTGGGTACAAGACATCTTGATCTTTGGGTACAAGACATCTTGATCTTTGGGTACAGGACATCTTGCTCTTTGGGTACAGGACATCTTGATCTTTGGGTACAAGACATCTTGCTATTTGGGTACAGGACATCTTGATCTTTGGGTACAGGACATCTTGCTCTTTGGGTAAAGGACATCTTGATCTTTGGGTACAGGACATCTTGCTCTTTGGGTACAGGACATCTTGCTCTTTGGGTACAGGACATCTTGCTCTTTGGGTACAGGACATCTTGATCTTTGGGTCGGGACATATTGATCTTTGAGTACAGGACATATTGATCTTTGGGTACAGGACATATTTATCTTTGGGTACATGACATTTTATTGTATGGACTGGACATTTTATTGTATGGACTGGACATCTTGCTCTTTGAGTACAGGAAATCTTGATCTTTGGGTACAGGACAACTTGCTCTTTGGGTACAGGACATCTTGCTCTTTGGGTACAGGACATATTGATCTTTGGGTACAGGACATCTTGATCTTTGGGTACAGGACATCTTGCTCTTTGAGTACAGGAAATCTTGATCTTTGGGTACAGGACATCTTGCTCTTTGGGTACAAGACTTCTTGCTCTTTGGGTACAGGACATCTTGATCTTTGGGTACAGGACATATTGATCTTTGAGTACAGGACATCTTGATCTTTGAGTACAGGACATCTTGATCTTTGGGTACAGGACATCTTGCTCTTTGGGTACAGGACATATTGATCTTTGGGTACAGGACATTTTATTGTATGGACTGGACATCTTGCTCTTTGAGTACAGGACATCTTGATCTTTGGGTACAGGACATCTTGCTCTTTGGGTACAAGACATCTTGCTCTTTGGGTACAGGACATATTGATCTTTGGGTGCAGGACATCTTGCTCTTTGGGTACAGGAAATCTTGATCTTTGGGTACAGGACATATTGATCTTTGGGTGCAGGACATCTTGCTCTTTGGGTACAGGAAATCTTGATCTTTGGGTACAGGACATATTGATCTTTGGGTGCAGGACATCTTGCTCTTTGGGTACAGGAAATCTTGATCTTTAGGTACAGGGTACAGGACATATTGATCTTTGGGTACAGGACATCTTGCTGTCTGATCACAAGACACACCAAAAAACACCTTGCACAGCCCCATCCTAATCTTATATCATACTATAACAGATGAATGACCTTCTTGACCTGGCAACTGTGAGTCCATGTTCTGCTCTTATCTTTCAGACATGTTCCTCCAAGCAGAGCCTGAAGAGGCACCAACGCAAGCACCTGGACAAACCCCCTCAGTCCAGCCCGAGCGTTCCCAGGAAGCCGAGACCCACCACACCCAGCCGGTCCCCGGTCTACGACCAGTTTGGGGAAGAGGTGTTTCCCTGTCGTATTTGTGGCAGGTAGGTGGCGTTGGCGACATTTATTTTTGTGCTGGTCTACTGGAGGCCACATGTTTGTAGGCTGTGCTTGTATGCAGGTCTAGGCAACATTTACCCATATGTTGTTACCGGGTAGTATATCTAGGCAACATTTATCCATATGTTGTTACCTGGTAGTATATCTAGGCAACATTTATCCATATGTTGTTACCTGGTAGTATATCTAGGCAACATTTATCCATATGTTGTTACCTGGTAGTATATCTAGGCAACATTTATCCATATGTTGTTACCTGGTAGTATATCTAGGCAACATTTATCCATATGTTGTTACCTGGTAGTATATCTAGGCAACATTTACGTATATGTTGTTACCTGGTAGTATATCTAGGCAACATTTACCCATGTGTTGTTACCTGGTAGTATATCTAGGCAACATTTACCCTTGTTTTGTTACCTGATAGTACCTCTAAACAAAATTTACCCTTGTATTGTTGCCTGCTAGTACATCCAGGCAAAATTTACTCATGTGTTGTTACTTGGTAGTACATTTACCCTTGTCACTTGTTAGTACATCTGGACAACGTTTGCCCATATGCTGACAAATGCTCTGTCTGGTCAACGTGTCACATTTAGTGAGTGCATATAGGTCAGCAGTTATACATACTGTTGACAAGACAGATATCTGAGCAACATTTTCCTCAGTACTGTCACATGGTCGACAACTGACAAATGATTGGGCTATCTGTGGCCCTTGATCTTGCTTTTATGCCATAAACACAAGAGCAGCTTTGTGGAAGCTCAGTGATAGATAAGGGAAGACTCCACAAGGTTGATTTTTTTCTACACACCCCAGGCTAGAATGGAGACTATACATAAGTAGAAGTTAGTCTACACCCCAGGCTAGAGTGGAGACTGCACATAAGTAGAAATTAGCCTACATTCCAGGGTAGAATGGAGACTACACATAAGTAGAAGTTAGTCTACACCCCAGGCTAGAGTGGAGACTACACATAAGTAGAAGTTAGTCTACACCCCAGGCTAGAATGGAGACTACACATAAGTAGAAGTTAGTCTACACCCCAGGCTAGAGTGGAGACTACACATAAGTAGAAATTAGCCTACATTCCAGGGTAGAATGGAGACTACACATAAGTAGAAGTTAGTCTACACCCCAGGCTAGAGTGGAGACTACATATAAGTAGAAGTTAGCCTACATTCCAGGGTAGAATGGAGACTAAACATAAGTAGAAGTTAGTCTACACCCCAGGCTAGAGTGGAGACTACATATAAGTAGAAGTTAGTCTACATCCCAGGCTAGAGTGGAGACTACATATAAGTAGAAGTTAGTCTACACCCCAGGCTAGAGTGGAGACTACATATAAGTAGAAGTTAGTCTACACCCCAGGCTAGAGTGGAGACTACACATAAGTAGAAATTAGCCTACATTCCAGGGTAGAATGGAGACTACACATAAGTAGAAGTTAGTCTACACCCCAGGCTAGAGTGGAGAAAAAAAATATAATTAGAAGTTAGCCTACATTCCAGGGTAGAATGGAGACTACACATAAGTAGAAGTTAGTCTACACCCCAGGCTAGAGTGGAGACTACATATAAGTAGAAGTTAGTCTACATCCCAGGCTAGAGTGGAGACTACATATAAGTAGAAGTTAGTCTACACCCCAGGCTAGAGTGGAGACTACATATAAGTAGAAGTTAGTCTACACCCCAGGATAGAGTGGAGACTATACATAAGTAGAAGTTAGTCTACACCCCAGGATAGAATTGAGACTACCCCCAGGGTCAAGTCCTATGACTATTGTCTAATGAAGTCTGCTTGTGACTTCTAATCTACAGGGTGTTTGCTAAAGTGAAGAGCCGCAGTGCCCACATGAAGAGCCACAAAATTGCAGAACAAGCTCAGCAAGAGAAAAAGGCAGCAGAGATGGCCATTGCTAGTCAGGCATTTGCTAATGCGTGAGACGGGTTTAAATCTTTCATATGTCCACAACCTCAGGATGCCATGGCCGCATGGACAAATCAGCACGGGTACAGAATTTTATTGGTCCAGCCATTCGCAAATTGTAGCTAGGCTGTCTACTAGAAACTTGAGACTTCAACAACAGCATCCAGTTTATCAGAAAGCTCTTCTTTAAAACAACTGTTTTGCCAACTTCTGCTTGGCCCAACTATGTTATTGTGGTGTTATTCGATCAGCCATGGTTGGAAGATTATCCTGAAATCATCAGGTAGTTTATGATTTGTTGTGCAATAGTTCTTGCTGAGACCTCAAGGGCAGGCAGTTAGGCAGCTGAAAATATTTGCTGGCCATGTTCTTGTTAAAGCTTCCATGCAAGAAGTCTGGATTTTTTCACGTGTTGGCTTAGGGCGTGCAGTTATTACCCATCGAATATTGCTACAATGACAAGGGTTGGGTAGAAAACTGAAATTAAATCAGCATGATTGAAAGCATGAGTATGAATGACAGCAAGGAGCCATTGTCTCCGTCAGTTTTCCTACACAGCTAAGAAGACTGATAGACGACTGTGTGCTTTAATAAGGCTGAGGTCAGGGATCGGGCCCATTGGAGGTACATTAGAAGACTAGCTGCGGGAACCTGTGGTGACCTTATATGCACCGTCCTATTTGTGACCTCGATGGGACTAAATCTTTACCGTGGCTTATGTCGCATGCACAAGGATCCAGCATGGCCAGATAATAGCTGTTGCACCGCAGCGGCACAGGTTGCCAGTTATGGCGTTGTCATGTAAATAGATTTGATGTAATCTTGTACATAGATTTTATGTAAGCTTGTATATAACTTTGAAACTAAACCCAAATTTATGTCAGAAATGAAATAGTTGTACTGGGTGTCACTGTTTGTTTAGGGCTTACACTGTGTCAGATTTTCTAAAGCTTATTTGTGAAATGGGAGAGAATTGAGTTTTAGCAGCTGTGGGTTTTCTCTGGCTAATGTGGTTTTCGAATAATGTAAGGTATAACCCAGTTGTTCTAGCTTTGAATCATGTGAGGTATACCCCAGCTGTTCAAGCTTTGAATCATGTGAGGTATACCCCAGCTTTTCTAGCTTTGAATCATGTGAGGTATACCCCAGCTGTTCTAGCTTTGAATCATGTGAGGTATACCCCAGCTTTTCTAGCTTTGAATCATGTGAGGTATACCCCAGCTGTTCTAGCTTTGAATCATGTGAGGTATACCCCAGCTGTTCTAGCTTTGAATCTTGTGAGGTATACCCCAGCTGTTCTAGATTTGAATCATGTGAGGTATACTCCAGCTGTTCTAGCTTTGAATCGTGTGAGGTAAACCCCAGCTGTTCTAGCTTTGAATCATGTGAGGTATACAATGGCTGTCCTAGCTTTGAATCATGTGACATATACTACAGGTTAGGGCTATTCAGCTGGCGGCTTGTGACTCGAACCAGGCCCTCTTGCTCTGCTTGATTCAGGTCTCTGACATGCGCCGATCCCCACTTTCAACATTTTGACCCATGAATTAACTTAGTTGAATAGCTCTACCCTAGGTGGTCAGGGTTTGAATCGTGTGAGGTATACCCTAGGTGGTCAAGGTTTCAATCATTGCAGTGTTCTTGAAATTGATTGTGGCTGTAGACCGCAGAAGATTTGCTAAAACTCTCATTAGGTTTCCAGATTCAGGTATGTGATTGTGCGGAATATTCGGCCATCGACGTAAACTAAAACTCGTCCAGACTTGCATCGTGTGATATTTTTTTAAAAGAAATTTACTCTTGTTTTTTTTAATGGTTTGCATTAGAACACAGATGAGGTGTACAGTTCTGTTCCTTGGTATCTAAGTGCCACAGAATGTCTGTTTTTTTAAATACACACAGAAGCATGTCTGACCTTTTGGGTATAGGTAGGTATGAAAATGTCACCTCTGAAAGATGCTTAGACAGAAATGTGATGTACTTCGTCAGTACATAGGTAAAAATATGTGAACTGTAGAAGAACAAATGTGAAGAGATATGCAGGTATAAGTAGGGATTTTTATTTTCCTAGCAAATAGGTCCCAGTATTCGCCACAAAGTGTTGAAGAGATTTTTGATGCATGCGGGGAATTCTGTTCAAATTATGAAGCCAAAATAATTGCACTGGAAACAGCAGTATACCACCTAAAGACTGTAATGGATGTTTACCCTTCAAAAGCCCAAAATATTGTCATCTTCACAGATTCAATGTCTGCCCTTCAAGATCTGGAGGGCAGTGAACGCTGCAGAACTGACATAGCCAAGATAATCCTGGATGCCGATCAGCTTATTACTTCATACATCAGAATAGTGATGCAGTGGATTCCACGCCACTCCGGCACACCAGGTAATGACAGAGCTGACAGATTGGCAAAGAAAGGAGCAACACAAGAACCACCACCTACAGCGACAACCCTACAGACAACAAAAACACTTGTAAGAGCTATAAAGAAATAGACTTGGTTGAACAGATGGGCCATGGGAGACACTGGAAGAGAGGTTTATAGACATATGGCTGGCCCTGATCCTAATGACAGCATTAACCATCTAACAAGAAGGGACCAGGCTACCATCTTCAGACTTAGAACGCAACATACTCCACTCAGTGGACATCTAAACAGAATACAGCCACAACCCTCCCCAGAGTGCCAGCTATGTAACTACCTCTACGAAACTGTTGAACACCATCTCTTTGAGTGCCCAAAACTCAGCGAGACTAGAAGAACGCTACTCCCTCCAAGACCAGACAAGTGGAACACCTTGTACGGAGGAAAAGAACAGCTTGTGAAAACATGCAAATTCCACTACATGGCATTGGGCCATAGGGCGAAAGCTGGATCGATAACAACAACACCACAAAGTGTCTGCTACAGAGGGGCTGACAATCATGCTTAAAAATGTGCTAGAACTGCATACCGCCAGAGAAATGCCCTGAGTGTAATGGCTGTCTTTGCATATCTGCAATGGTGATGTAATCTCAATGGTTCAAGAGGAGACTACTCTGAACTATGTAATATATTTATAAGAGTTCTCTTTGCATGCTCCAGATAACTTCCTGGGTGCCATATTGCTGTCCTGCAGTGAATGCTGTTTTGAATTTCATTTCGTGTTACTGTAAATAACTTCAAGCAAACTAACAATTGTGCCACTTCTTGTGTCCTTTGCCAGGTGTTTCAAACATTTGTTGCTAATTCAAAGTATAATATATTTCTGAAAACTGAGGTGGCGTGTGACATTTAACAGGGTTTTGCGCATGTGTATGTATGAAACTGTTTTTATTTGCTTAGTTTGTCTTTTACTGCTTTATTAAATGCTTGCCGTTTAATATGGCTTGTCATTGTAGAAACTGGTTTGGTGCATATTTTGCTTGTTAATTTTTTATTCACCCCAAACACGGCGATTCCAAGATTTCCCTGGAAATCCAATAATATATGGAGGTTAGGATTAGTTGGTGTTGATTTCAAACAGTAACAGCCCTATAATATTAGACTTTTGGGGGGAACTCCGGATTCTCGGTGTTTAGGGTGTTTTCACAACTTTTATCTATAATCTAAAACACAAAGTCAGTGTGTTTGTTGTAAAACGTGCAATTGCGTTGACTCCTTCCATTGATGACCCATAGATGGGTTAAATTGAAAGGTTTTGTTTCGGCTACAGTTCTTTCCAAAAACAGATTGTGAGCTACTTCATCTAAGCAGCAGCAAGTCCAGATGAGGTGGTTTGGTCATCTGATGACAAGGCCCTGGTACCAACTGCCACAGAAAACCATGTTGAAGAAATATAATAAACATGGAGCCAGGGGAAGACCACACAACATGGAATGACGGTGTCAATAAGAACTTTAAAAAAATTAAGATCCTCTTAAGCAGTACAGGAAGTAAATTGTCTCTTCTTCTGAATGTTTGTCCGCTGCAAACTCCAGGGAAAATGACAAATGAATATACTTATCTCATTCAAATATTGAATCTATAAACAGATACTTGAATGAGAACTTGTATACATGGTTTGAGTACCTCAAGCAAGAGTAAGTTTTTGTGTGACTCAGTTAAAATGTCTGCATTCTTTGCCTTGAGGATTTTCTTAGAACCTGTGATCTTCCATTTTCACCAATCTTTGATAGTTTCTGTACCAGTCCACCGCTGTGATTTCTGTTTCAGAATCTGCCAAATATCAATGGTTTTTGTATCAGTCCAACAAGCCCTCGACACCCGCACCCCTCACATGGTTTTTACAAGTACTATGTCTTTATGGAGAGACCGGCTGAGTGGTTGAGCCCTGGGTTGTCATGCAGAAGAGCCATGATCAAATTCTCAGTAAGACTGGATATTTTCTGACGGGGGCAAAAGTTAAACCCTAACCTGTACTGTCGGTAGCGACAGCACTAGCCATACAGCCATCAATCCTCAGGCTCAAAGACCTGACAACCCCCTAACCTGTACTGTCGGTGGCGACAGCACTAGCCATACGGCCATCAGTCCTCAGGCTCAAAGACCTGACAACCCCCTAACACCGCAGAAGTGTTAATTTGTAGTCTTTGAAATGTCTTTATGGCATAGAGGTTAGTGAATGCTTTCACAACTTCACCATCCTCGGGTACAAGCAGTCAATTTCCTTACCATTGGTTTTTACAAACATGTTTTTTTTTTTGGTGGTTTTATGAAAAGCGGTACAAGAGTCGCACCATGGAAGTAAGTCCCAGATAGCAGTGGCCATACTGTAGCCAGCCTTCATTTTAAAGACGTCACAAATTGGTTAAAGGTTGTGGTTTCATTTCAGGACTGCGTTGTTCAGTTCATGAGTGCAATTTTTATGGAGGTCCCTAGGGATCGCCACTGGAGCTACAGAGGTCATGCTCTGTGCAGTGCTGTCGGCTGGTAGCTAGATGCTCTGCGGAGAGAGACTGAGCCATATGGGATCAAACCTGGTGCAAGGAACTTGATCCTCTCAACATTAACCTTAACCTAGATTTGGTTAAA